GTCATTGTGTATTTATACATGGCAGAGAACCCAAGCACAGGTCCTGTGCCTTATTATCTGAGGTGTTATAACGAGAAGCCACCAGTAACAAACACCAATTCAAATATCCTAAATTACATTCTGTAGAGTCTCAGCTTGCCAAATGCCTGAATGAAAAAGGATGTGAAAGATGGGCTCTCCTTCATTCTAATTCAACCCGGATTCTGGGATTATCTGTTAAAAATAGGACATTTTCTATTCTCTAATAATAATAATTTTCCATAGACAGCTGTTGATGTGCCCATAGGTTCACAATAGCTCTTTTAGCAGTGGATTGTAATAACAATTTCTTCAAATATGTCTTTGAATTCAGAGCTGTATGAGCTATTCATAGGGAACACTTTAATCAGTGAATTTCAGCTTTTATTCTGCTTGCAAATTGTTACAAATGTTACTCGCAGACATTTGATATAAATAAACTTTGGCCTATCCTTTGCTCACAACATGTTTTTGCTGCAGTATTTCAATATTCCTTATTACCATTGCACAACCGGTCACCTTTGTTGGGCAGTATTGTTTGCCCTGCCAGAGCAGCAGTAACCAAGAGGAAATCCATGCCGTGGGGCCGCGATTGCCCAATGGATAAGGTGTGCGTAGTTACGAAGCTAGGAGGAGCGAGATCACAAGACTAAGGAGTTTTCAGGACTATTTTAATATTTCCTTTCCAGTTCCCTTGACTCAGACCTTGCTTGTAACATCACGATGAGAACAAAGGGGCCACTTGAACATTATAGGCTGAGGTCAAATTGAAAATTAATGATCTCTTATCACATTCAGACAAAGCTCCAGCTGCAACGGGTGGGGTTGGGTGCTTTTCTGGTTTATTTAATTGTCACTGAAGCAGGGCTCTGAACAGTGGGCTTGCCTAGTCATAGCTGCAAAAGATGAGGTCACAGGCTGTTTTCTGAGTCACTTAGCCCCGTGCCTGCTGCAGAACCTGGCTTGGGAATAGGTAAGACCAACCGGAGTGCAAGCTTAATATCTTAATGAAACAAATGCCAGGCATTTGCTTTATATGAATAAAACATCTTTGGCATAAACCTCTGCGAAAAACAAATTCCAAAAGGTTGTAAATCGGAATTCAGTTTTCAGTGCGCTAAAATGTGTGTGAAAAATGATGCTGTAGAGACAGCTCTATTTAAGTTAAAATGTTTGGCAGTGTCCTGTCAGTGCAGGAGAAAATGGATGTAATGTGCACATATGCACAACTAGTGACTCAAAATGATGTACAAGTGTTACTGTGTCTAGTCCAAAAGAAATACCTGGAACTCAGGAAATAAGGCTCCACGGTTCAGCAAATTTGTCTGAGGATAGATGTTCTGGTTTTGAAACTCCAGTTTTCCCCAGAGTGCTATAAACATGTCTCAGGCAAACAAATACAGTCTGGGTCAACTGATATCTCTGGAACTATTGCACAAACTATAGTTTCATTTGGTATTTATGGGAGAAGAGTTTCAGGGGAGAAAAAAAACAAACAAACATGGGACTGCTAGCAGCTGAAGGACGAAAAAGTGTATTGATATCTGGAGCTCTTGGAGCAAGACCTATAGCCTAAATACCCACCCATTAATGTATATGTAAGTCTGGGCATCTCTTTAGATAGTTACAGCAGTTTAATCACCTCTGAATATTCATGTAAATGAGTTTTGTTTGTAAGAATGGCAGGGATCTCAAATACTTGCACCGATCCGTAATCAAGCAGAGAAACCATCTGAAGTCTCCCGTTTCCTGTTTATAAAAGTTTTGGCTGCCCAGACAAAACACAGCAACAGGAACAATCCTGTATGACTTGGAGGGTTGTTACAACACCTCTGAGACCAGTTTGTCTTAGCTAATGGTCACATTGCTTCAATCCACTCTCACAGTTTTGGAGCTGGCCACTTCAAAACGAGCCGGGATGTATTTATAAGGTCGGCGTTGTGAAATGGCACCGCACCTTTACCCACCACATCAGCACGCTTTGTCTTCCTGTTAATATATGCAAATTTAAAGCACAGCCTTGTGTCAGCTCCTGCTAGGCTATCTGTCCTGAGGTGTTTTTCCGGGATAGCCTGCCCTTTGGAAACCTTCCAGAATGGAAGAACATATTTTCCCAAAGACGGTGTCAGGTCCTCACGTTCGTTTGCTGGAAAGAAGTCCAACTCTGTCAGGTAGAGTGATTGAGGTTTCTTGGAAAACCCCGATGAGGAAGTTTGCAGCGAGAAGACAGAAAAATGATGGAGGCCCGTGCCAAAATAGCAGATCAGATATAGCTCTCTTGGTCACCATGGAGAAGTGGGAACCCAGCTCAAACAGAGAGCAGCAGACTGTCTCCCACCAACTAGACCGTGATGCTCGGGTTCATCCTACTGAAGGGCCTCTGTGAGACAACACCGAGCGCCACTCGTGCACTATTACGTAGCAGGGTGCAGTGTTGAGAAATGTTTCCAATTTTCTTCAAAGTGCCACTCAAGTCTGCCTTTCCCATCTTCCTCCCTGCTGCTACCCCAATATAAACAGTGCAGAGTCGCACATGAACCTCTCTCCAAAACGGCATTGCTGGGGAGCTGGGGATGACTAATCTCTCCTGTTTACAGTCTGCTAGCTGCTTGAATCCTAACATAATTTACATGACATGGATTGGGAGACTAGAGAATTACATGTTGCCAAGCTACTGAGAAAAAAGAAAAAAAAAATAAATAACATAAACTTTTCATGAGGTGTTTGGCAAATTCCCTCACTGCCTCTTCATGTCACAGCCCCTAGTTTTGGTACCCTGCTCTTCCCTCTGTGTTTACAAGAACCTAATGCATTCACCTCACCCATTTGGTGAATGGGTACCTGGGAGCAAATTCCAACAAGTCCTCAAGCAGAGGATGAAGAGGAATGAAGCAGAGTTCATAATTTAATGGACTCTGGACTGACTAGCATTAAACAGCTGTCTTGGTATGGGAGATTTCCTACGCAGATTCCCCCTAGGACATCTAGTCCTTCCTCCATACCTACAGCAAGTAACCCCCAGCTATGTACTCTCTAACTGCCTTCATATCTGTCTGGTATCCATTCAAATCATCTTCTGAAAATACCATCTGCAATTATATGCCACTTATTTCAGCCTACGTTTGAGCCCGTTAAATAAATCGGAGAAGATGCCCAATCCTCGAAGTCCTGTTAATCACAAGATAGATGCAGGCATAATATGGCCGTCTGTCTACAAACTGAAGCTGGAGAAGTTATATCAGAAGTGAGGTGTAAATTTTTAACATTGCACATAATTTAACTGTTGGAACAATTTAGCATTTGGATACTACACATGGAATGTGGGATAATTTTTGTCACTCGAAGCCTTTGAAATTGGAAGACTTCCTAGAAGATATGTTCTAGCTCAGCCACGAGTTGCTGAGCTGCAGACTCAATAACTCAAAATTGAGGTAGACTGTGTGAATGTCTGTGATCTGCCTCATGCAGGATGACGGGCTAGAGAGGCGTAATGGCCTTGAAATGTATGAAAACACTTTGTCTTTCCTGCCCGGGATTTAAAAAGGAGCTGTCACAGCACAATCAATTAAGATAAGATGAAAAAAGGTGCAGCAAATAAAATTGCAGTCAATTAAAGATTGAAGGTGGAAGGTGCACGTACCTTACGTGGGAGGAGGTGAATTGTAGCAATTAGACAGTGGTCCAGATATATCAAAGAACAAAAAAATGTTCTGAATTTGATAAAAAATCGCATTTCAGGTACAACTCTCGAAGCAAAAGAAGAATTAAAATAGCTGTGGAAGAACATAAATATCCATTTTGAAAATATATTCAGCCAAACAGCTGTCACAGTAACCTTTGCAAATAAAAGTGTTTAAGACGATCTTTATTGCAGTAATACGGCATTAAGTGTTGCTTTTCTTCTGAATTCTGGCACTATTACTCATCTCAAACTGGAAACATTTGACAAGAATGGGAAAGTTTGCATGTGCCAGCATAGCAGGTGTAAGGGAAAGAAAGGTTTCAGAGCGAAGCCCACAGTTGTTTTCAACGCCGTGCTCTCTTGGAGCTCCTTGCCACGAGTTTTGTGTAATGGCAGCTATTTTGTACAAGTCACTGTATTAGCAGGTGATCTTTTGAGTCATTTCTGGAAAAAATTACACGTGCCTGTTTGGGGAGTTGCTAATGGAACAAGATCTTTCCTAGATTATGCTTGCCTTTTGATATTTTGTGCATGATAAACTAGAGAGTGTTTGCTAAATAATTACATTATTAGCACAGAATATATTACCGAGTAATGCAGAAGCATGGCCACAGCAATTTGCAGGATGTGTAGAGGGGATACACTTAATTCAAGCTGAAAAGCAACTTTAGCTACAGTGTCATGTTTAAAAGCTAAACGGGACCTCTTTTTGCCTCCATCTGTGGATGTGAATGAAGAGGCAGAAAAACCTGCCTCCGCTAGCTAACTGCTGTCCCTGGGTATTGCTGTTAGTGGATGGAAAACGTGCTGCAGGTGATGTGCCGGGCTGATGGCACATAACCCTCTGATGACTGCTGTTGGAAGCAAAAGTGGGCGGATTCTGACAACAAGAGATGCTTTGGAAATTATCAAACATCACCCAATCTCTGCACCCAAAGCTGGGAAAAGCCAGCTGCTTTCCCTTAGCACCCATCGGTGCTAACCAGGAAATTTTGCAAAACATGAGTTTATTACGGGGGAAGTAAAATAATGTTTACTTAGGAAAATACCCCAGTGAGACATTTAAACAGATAGGAAAGAAACCCCTACACAATATTTATTTTTCTAATTCACAGTACTGTGTTTCAGTTGGCTGTGACTGAGGAGGAGCCTCCCCCCATCCCTTCCTGCACTGTGCACTGTTGGGTGGTCAAAATTACTGGGGCTTCAGGAATGTGTTCATGCAGGCTAAGAGAAAATCCTGATAAACTTGGTAAGATGCCTGACAATTACTTCTTTACTATTTCTGGTCTTAATGTGGGTGCTGAATCTTTACTTTTCACTGTAACTCCATATCTAGTCCCTCGGATGATTACAAATCTGGAGCTTCTCTATCGCAGTGCTTGGCCTCCCATCCTGTACTACCTGCTCTTCCCTCAGCAGATTTTTACTGCCACTCTGTTACACTTTGGGCAGTTGATAAAAACAACAGCATTTCAGCGCTTCTGCTACCTGAACTGCAGAAAACCTTAATGTTAACAATCATCACACCGGAATAATGGGCAATCAGCTTTCAAGTATGGTCTGACTCGTTCTCTTTCTTATGATCTCTGTTGAAGTATGGCCGAGAAATCCTTCCCAGATCTTTGGTGCCGTGACTGGCTTATTGAATTATTCTCTTCTTGCACACATAAACCTGTATATTCTAGTAAATGCGAGTTAAGATTTGTCATTTTAAAGGGATTTCTTGCTTTGAACTTACTCTTCCTTGAAATCTGGCCTCATATTTAGTTCATCGTTGGCTCTAAAAAAAGCAGCCAGGTTGGAAGGAAATTAATATCGAAGTTTGAAGTAATTAAAACTCAGCGTTGGCTGGATACTTTTGAGAAGTGCAGATGACTACCTGTGTCCACATATGCAGTGCATTTGTCTAAGTTACTAGTGTGTGAAAAGCAAGGAACGGAACGAAAGCTATTCTTGCTGCAATAACTACAGCAGATGCTGCTTCATGCCTGCTATGGTATAGAAATAAGCTCTCAGACTTTTACAGCAGCCTTATCAGCCTTTTTTTTTTGTCTGTTTTTATCCTACTTTTTGTGCCCTTGATTTCAGACATTCAAGCCTTTGACCATGCATTTCCTCCTTGCTTGTAAAATAAATATATATAGCCAATTGTGTGAGACTCCAGGTGGTTTACTGGAGAACATGAAGATACAGGAGAAGATGCTGCTCAGAGATGCTTCATAGGTGGCAGTTTAAAGCTCTCTATTTCCCTCTGATTTTAATTAATAGGTTTGTATTTAAGATGAAATGTATTCAATTTGTGCACAGTGTAGAGCATGTCCCACTACAACATCAGTTATATACATAGCAATACAATTATCATTCTCTGCTGACAAATGTACCGTGATATTGATAAAAAAGCAATAACTTCAATGTACATGTCAAAATCAGCCCCGATAGCTTATTACAGATTGTTAAATGAACATAAATATCTAATGTTCAGTCTGTAATGTTCATTCATACTATGGCAGATGAAGCTATAGGTCAGAGAATTAATTTAAAACACAATAGCAAGGCTCTGATATTCACCGAGTCTGTTATATCTCTTTGCAAGCATCCCTGAGCATAGGGGGGACAGGCCACCTCCCCACCTAGGGCCAGGATGCAGAGAACTGATGACGTTCAGGGACTTAAACCTCCTTATGCGTCCCCAGGATCTTCTGGTTCCGGCCACAATCCGTCAGATTATCCATAATCACCTTTCCATGTTTCCAAGAACAGCCTTGGCTCGGTTTGCATGGCCCATCGAGTTTCCCCTTGCAGCCTCCTGCACCGAGGCGAGAGCAGAGCACTTGTCCTTCACCACGGGCTTTTGGAGGGCCAAGCAGGTGGTAGGCTGCCCAGCCTGCATCTTGCATGGAAAAGTCTGAAACGAAAGGCATGTTCAGGGATGGCAATGGTCCCATTTTACTTTTTTAAGGTCTTCAGGCTGCATGATCTGTCCACTTAGTGCTGTGAATTGGTTACTTCTTTGTTGTGTTATCATCTTCAAGAGCCCTTTACAGACTTCAGCTGATTTGATAGTCAGGCCTCAATACAGAAGAAACGTGGTTCACTAATAAATATTTCTTATGTAACAGTACAAATCTAAGCCCTTGGAAAAATGGATTTTGTTGTGGAAAGGAAATAAAGGTAGCTTGCACTGATGAAACTATCCTTCCTTATGATCCCATGAAACAAGAAGTTTAGATTACATCTACTCAACAATGAAAATCCATCCAAAATGTCGCAACTGTGATCCTATATATAGATAGTGAAACACTATGGCCTTTTTTTTTCCTCCTTTCTCTTTTTTTTGATTTTTTTTTTAAGAGCAGTTATGTCCAACTACTTCACATTTTTATAAACAACAACTACATGCCGCTCACTTCCATTTTTTCCTCCTCATTCAGTTGCACCTTGCTTCCTATCTTTTATTACATCATATTTTTTTATAGGATGAGAACCTGATTATTCGTCCTACTGCAGTTTAAAGCGGAGGTACATTGAGTGCTACAGAGCCCTTTAACAGTTTCCACATTCCACATTACAGGTATCAGCTTTTAAGTGAAATGGCTCCTTTAAAGAGTACCAACTGGACACATGTGAAAAGTACTTTGGGCTGGAATCACATACATATCCTGTTGTGACTCAGCTGCCCTATATTTGCAACCTTTATTTTATCAGATAAAAGAAAAAAAATCATCCAAGCGCAGCCCAACTTACTGTTTACTGTAGTCTCTGAAGAAAATTAAGATGCTCTAATACACCATTATAGTATCTACAATTTGTATGAGGCACCCGGATGCGTTTCCCTAATTAATAGCTCCCATAGTGTCCAGATTAAAAATAGATATTAAGAGCTTTGGGTAGATGATACAGCAGTATGAAATAGCATCACACCTGTCTTCATGTTGCAGCTTCCCAAGTGTAAGTAGGAGTCAAAATTTCCCTCCTCATTAAATAAAAACACTGATAGATAGTACATCACTTGGCATCTCCAAAGTGATATACCTAAGACATACCATCTGCTACGAAGTTGCAAAAACATAGCCTGAGAAAAGTGGGACATCAAGGTGGAGCTTAATTTTCTTTAGTCAGTTTTCTGTCTATCCTGGACTTGAGCACGCATGGTGCAGAGATGCCTTACGCTGCCTGTAACTGGCATGGCACAGAGAAATGGTGAGGGAGCAAAGCTGTGCTGCCCCGCCACGAAGGCATTCACGGAGGAACAGGGGGATTTCAGTCTTTCTTGTGCTGTTCCCAAAACAAATGCAGTTTTATTAACTGGGAAAAAAACAGGGGAGAGAAGGAAAAAAAAAAAAAAAAAAAAAAAAGACTTTCTATCTACATTTTTTGTGCACTCTCCTTCAGCATACGGAGCACTGGGCATCCCAGTCATGCCCCTGAGAGCCAGAGGCAGACCTCGGAGCTCTCCCACCTGCTCGCAGACAGCCTCAGCCCTTCAGATATCCAGCAGTCCAGCTAGAGATGCTGCTCTGGTCAGGCTGCCAAACAAATGGAGAATTGGATAAAATCTGGGTGCAGCAGAAGTGGCTACATTTAGAGGAACAAGGTCAGCATCACGATTTCCAGCTCACGAGCCAGGGATGCAGCAGTGGGGCTGGCTACAGCAGCCACAGCCCAGCTCGAGGCAGCGACCTGCATCCCTCCTGAGCACCTCACACAGTCACCTGGGCTCCTCCAAAATCAGAGACTGTTGCAAAAATCCTGCAAGCCCAAAAGTCTCCATACCTTACAGCATCCTAGTCTGTGAAGCCACCACTGCTAAGTGGGGTGTCCTGGTAACTTCTTAACCAAGTTTTTCCCTCTGAACTCTTCACATGCACAGACACAACGAACCCACCCCCTTTCTCCTCCCTGCTTTTCTCCCTTGCTGCAGGCCCGAGGCAAAGACTGCTGTGGAGGCCACCTGGGTTAAATTAGCACAATTAAACAGCGTTAAGCAGTTCTAGGAAATGCAGAGCAGGGTTCTGCCTTCCCAAAGACATGGTGTGTGGCTGTCAAGTCACTGTCCAGGAGCAGGAGGACGGCCCATGGGAGGAACACAGCTGAAGGCCCCACAGGGCCCTGTGTCCACCTCAGTCTCCTCAGCGGCAGCCAGTGCCCATTACCATGACCCTGTATCCATCTCGGTCTCCTCACTGCCCATTACCGTGCTGCCTCTTTCACCTCACACAGGTTTTAATTAGGGAACAGGGGTACAGGGGAGATTCGCACGGCCCCGGGATATGGTGTCAGTCTCTGGCAGCAGCAGGTTACAGCTGCTTGTGTAAGGACATAGAGGTTCGGGGTCATCAAAGCTTCACCACTGCTGGTCACGCTCTCCTAACTTTAACCAGCGGTGGGAAGCAGCTTTTTAGTACCCTGTTCTGTAAATATAAGCATTCAGTGGGGTCAGGCGTGAGGATAGGTAACAGCATTAGCCTGTGGCCTTGCCCTTAGTCAGCAGCTACACAGCAACACTCGCCCCTTCCCCGTCCTCAGGCCTCAGCCTGAATTGAAGCACCTTAATTGGGCTTCTTGGGCCTTCCTCTCTGATCTGTAAGGGTGGATAAATGAATCAAAGAACACGGTGATTTAGCTCAGTGGTAGCCAATTCTGCAGGCCTCCACACAGGGAGAAGGTGGGAGCTCCTGGTGGGGCTCCCTTTGTAGCATCTGCGAAGTCAGAGGAGGAACGGTGAGCAGAAGACATGCAACCACCCTTCCTAGAGACAAACAAGTCTGCTTTCTCCATTTTATTAACTTGGAATATTGCTTGAATCATGGGTCACTGTTTTTTTGTTTTGTTTTGTTTGAAGTCTGTCTATCCCTTTAAGAAGCGCTGGAAACACCCTTCAGAGAATTGTAATGAAATAACATTATTTATCAGTATTAAATATAGATAAACAAAAATGAGAAACAGACTTAATTGAAGCCCTCTGTGAAATCTGGGTAATCAGTTTTCATTTCCAGGAGGCTTTAACTTATGTTATTTAATTTATTATTTATCTGTTCTATTTTGATTTTGCTTTTGAGCCCCAGTGCTGGGCTCTGGGCATTTTAGAAACACTCGGAGAGAGATTGGGAGAATCACCCCTAGTGCAGCTGGGCCAAAACTTCACCGTGTTTGCATCTTTCCATGGCTTTGATAAGCTTGGTGATTGTGCAAGGGTTCTCCTAGCTTCACTGGCAACCCTAATCTCAAATACAGGCACGTTACAGTCTATTTCCTGATCCCCAAAGTGTTTTTCCTGTTGGACCCAGCTTTACCTCCACTCCATGCAAACATGTTGCCATTTCACTTTATTTCTTTAATTTATAGGCATCAAAGTTGCTGAATCAGGAAACTGAGGTTATAGCTGTTGAAGAAACGAATCCCACATCGTGACAAACTGCTTTTTCTGCAGATTTTCTCGTGTTCCTCATTCTGAGTCACTGTCACACATTTTAAAGGCCAGAGTTACATATGAGGCTCTTGATGGTGAGGGCTGTGCCCTTTCTTGTGGTTTCTGCAGGCAGACAATTGCCACGCTGCGTCTCTACTGGCTGCCTCTCGCTAATGATGCTCAATTCACATTGCAGTGCTTCCTGTGTCACTGGAGCGTGTGACATTGCGCACCAGACCTGGAAATGAAGTGGTTAAATTTGACTATGTTAATTGGATTCTAATTAGCCCAGCGATGCTATTTGTCTCTGCTGAAGCAGAGCTCTGAGGGACTCCACCTCTCTAGGCGGAAAAAGTGCAGAAGTTGGGAGGAGAAGTAAAAATCAAGAATCAGGCAACAAACAGACCAAAAGTAGTTAAAACAGATTAAACTTTTTGTGTTTAGCTAAGTACTAATTGGCCATGTACTTCCTCAAAAGTCAAAAGTAAGCTTAAAAATGTCTGTGACATTCAGGGTTGTGGCCAGAAAAAGTGAAGCATCAGTACCTCTGTAGGAGCAAAGAGCACTGCTGGATCCATCCCTTTCTGTAAGGACTTTACGGCCCCCAAAATATGGCCTCCAGTTGCACACATGCACAAATCCATCCTCACAACGTACTCTTGAGGCAAGGAAGTCAGCTTATGGCCATTTGCAGGCTGAGGGGTCCAGTATGGGGTGATTAAGTGACTTGCCCAAAGTCATGCTGGAAAATGCCAGCAGGAGCAGAGCGGAGCCGCGGGTCTGCAGTGCGCCTCTCCAGACTGACACGGGAACCTCACAGCACTTAAGGAATTATTAAAATGTTAAATGAGTTGAAATGAAAGGCTCTGTCCAGGGCTGAAGTCATCATTTGGATTATTCACTCGGCTCTTTGAAAAATACACAAATGCGGCAGTATTATGAATGCAATTACAGCCAATGGAGAATTCTCAAATGAAGGGCGAATCAAAAGGAAACCGTCTATGTTTTATATTTCTGTGGTCTCTTCCATCTCAACAGTGAAAGAAAGCATGGCTGCGCATACATATCTGAAACATATGTTGATTTTGTGCTTGTCAGCTACTTGGGCTCGGGGGGAATTCTCCCACAGCACTCACGCTGAGCTAGAGCAAGAAAGAAAATGCCCTGTGGGCTTTGAGGTCTTCTCCTGTCCCTGCTGGAGGTGCAAGTGGCTGTGCCACCCGTGTCCCTCACCACCCACCCTCATTGCCCTTACACACCCGGGGTTTCTGTCCATTCCCCCCCTCCGAGAGCACTCGGGAGCAAATTGTTTGGGATGGAGCGAGATGGGCACAGATGTGACCACCTGCTGCACGAGCCTTTCTTCTCATGAGCTTCTCAAAAGGCACTTCATATTTTAAAAAGGAGGAGGAAGAGGCAGTGGCCTTTGGTGTTGCTCAGCACTGACACAGCTGGAGCTGGCCGGGGGTGGTGGGGTGTTATTTTTTACAGGTTGGCAACCAGACGCTTGCTGCAATGATATACTTTTTTTTCCAGAGATTGCCTGAGTGTAGATGTGCCAACACGGGTTCCGGTTTTACCAGCTAATTCTCTTATTTCAAAGAGAGGAAATATCCTCGGACAAATCTGCTTTGTCAAGGTTGAAAACGTTCCACACCACAGATGGTGACCATAAGGTGCAAGTGAGTTTTCAGCTGAACTGGTGACACCCTACCCATTTGCTTCGCTGCCGAAGATTTTAAAACTAGTTTTTGTTATGAGAAGCTGAGCGAGATACTTCTCTCCAAATGTCTCTTCCTCCTGTTAGCTCCCCGCTTCCATATTCATGGCACTCCTGCTGCTACTAGCACTGCCATGCGTAGCACCTCCTGCAAATTGTCCAGTTCCTGGTGTCAGGATGGCAGTTCCCTTTGGTTCCTGAAAAATTCATTAAGCTGGGGGGGTGGAAGGGGCAGCGGAGCCCTGCTATGGTCCAGCACCCTGTTGTAGGAGGTTTTTCCCAGGTATCCTGCACGACGGCGTGGTGCTCTCATAGCCAGATGAGCCGCGAGCATCCTCACACCTCTCCTTTTATGCAAAAGCCACCAGTTGCACTAAATGATCTGATCTGTTGAAGCACAAAAAAATAAATCTGCATGTGGGGATGTTGTTGTGAGGAGTTTCCCAGCAATCATCTGGGGGTTTTCAGTCCCCTCTAGCACAGTATGAGACTTTTCTTGTGGACTGAGCAGAGCCTCAATGGGAACGGTGATGGCAGCTCGCAGTAATTGGTACCATGCCCTTCAGGTTCCTCCTAACTGAGGGGTTTTATGGTAATGGTAGAGAACCCACCTGTGGTTGGCAGCCTCAGCAGCTGTACCTAATTTTTCCCTTTTGTGAATTCCCCCATATCGCCGTGCTGCCTCTGTTACTGTTCTGTGGCGCAGTCACAGGTCCTCACTTCCCTTTTCTCCCTGACTAATCCCTTCCACCAAGAAAAATAAAATTTAAGGGGGCTATAAACCTTGGCTTGCTCCAGCGCAACAACCGAAATAGAAGCCTAAAAGGAAACATGATTCTGCCTCTGGGAAACTAAAACAAAAAGTAAAAGCGAGCGGTGGGGCTTGGGGCTTCCCTCCCCACCACGCTCCCCGGCCTGATTTCGGGAGGGTTCGGCAGCAGGAGGGCAGCAGGCCGGGGACATAAATTACTTCTCTTCGTGAAGAAGTGGTGTTAAGTATTAAACGTGCTTTGGGGCAGCTCCTGTAATCCCTCACCCTCTTCATTTGTGGTACATCTTTGGAGAGCGAAGAGCTGTATACACAGCACGTCAGCCTGATTCACGCTGCCCCCCTTCCTCCTCCTGGGCTAAATTGTCTACAAGCAAGTGCAGATCCCACATCTAAGCTGCTCTGCGGCTCCCACGAGGACATATGGGTCCTCCTCCCCTTCCTCACCGCTAGCCTGATGCCAAGGCCCGCTGTTTCTTTACCTTTGACATCTCTCCACACCACCACTTCCCCATTTCTCTGCCGTGCCTGCAGGCCAGGTACCCATTTCCCTCCTTTGCTCCATCTCCCTTCAGTTTCCCCCCACGCCAGCAGTGTCCCCACCCCAGCACACCCCAAGCTCTCCATCCCCCTCCTCTCCAACCACTTTCTAACACAGCTTCAATCCCCAGCTGCTCGCTCGGAGATCTCCACTTTCCCTTGCCTCTGTGTTTGGTGGCAATGTAGGCGTACCTATCACTCTGACCTGTTTGTCTCGTTATCTTCTTGTGTTACTTCCTCTGGTTTTGTCTGGTGTTCATCCTTATCATGGTATCTGAACATGTCCCACCACCGCTTGTGTACCTGCGGGCTTTGGGAGCTGAGCTATGCTCTTATGGAAGGAGCATGACATGAAAATGAAGATCACCACATGTCCTGAAGAAGTTCACACTCCTGAAACCCGGGCCTGACTCTTTACCAACATTTTCTCTGCTGACTTCAGTCGGAGCAAGGCTGAACTTTTCTCCCCGGCGCTTCTGTAATTTCTGGGAGC